TAGTAGTAGTAGTAGTAGTAGTAGTAGTAGTAGTAGTAGTAGTAGTAGTAGTAGTAGTAGTAGTAGTAGTAGTAGTAGTAGTAGTAGTAGTAGTAGTAGTAGTAGTAGTAGTAGTAGTAGTAGTAGTAGTAGTAGTAGTAGTAGTAGTAGTAGTAGTAGTAGTAGTAGTAGTAGTAGTAATAATAATAATAATAATAAAGAAAGAGAAGAAGAAGAAGATGATGAGAACTTTGAGATGGAATATTAATGTAACGATTAAACAATGATAATAACAAATGTCAAGGTTAGAGGTTCCACTAATGGTATATCAAACAAGTATAGTATAAACTCTTATTATTGAATTGGAAACCACACACAAAGGAGGTTCCAATCAGATTATATATTGTTAACATGATTACATTAGTCATCTTATTCAATTAATGCTAATACTTGTAAATCTCGTCAAGCATTCATGATTATAACTTATGTTAACAACAAATCAAGTTCCTTTCATAGCTCAGGTGTCGGTTATACCATACATTATGGGCTATGAAAGTGCCAAGCATTTGTTGTACCAAGTGTTATATAACATAAATCAAGATTAGTCATTTAACAAGCAAAGTATTAAAGAGTGAACAAGATAGCAAATATAAAACATGTTAGTATCAAACATTAAAGTCCATATTAAGTTTACATTATACTTATTCTTACACCATTAGTGTAACCTTTTCACCTTGACATAATTAACTTAGCTAGACATAATGAAAGAAAGCAAAATAGATAAACAAAATAAGAACATAAAAGTTAACTAAGTAAAGGAAAGGAAATGAAAGGCATAAACTTAATATTAATGAAAACAAAGCATAAAAAATACAAAGAGAGAAAGGAAGAGCATGATCTTGATCTGGAAATCAAGATGCCTAAATGCATGGCAAATGCCTCCTTTTATAGGCCAAAAATGGGAACTATTGATTTGATGACTAATTGATAAGTGGGTGACCAACTTTTGACTTGGTGACAATCCTTATCTTCTCTTGTCTGCCCAAAACGTCATTGATAACGTCAAAACTGGAGCCAGTTGCAAACATGAAAGTTGTAGGCAATTGTCTCAGCTTTCTTGTGTAAAAACTTCAGCTCATTTGGACTTCTAGAACTCCAGATATGGCCAAAATACCGAATAGTGCTCGGGCTGGAAGACAGATTCGGGCTTCTTTGTTGTTGCTACAATTTGGACTTGATAATGGCCTTTTTAGATCTTGGGCTCCATATGAAAGTTGTAGGCCTATGTCTTACCTTTCCATCCATATAAATTGGACCTAAATCTGAGATATATAGCTCCAGATATGACCCATTTACCGAACAGTGTTCCGGTTTGGATTGCACCGACATCTCTTTTCTAAGTTTGGCCATCTCTTTATCCTTGCAATTTAAGTTCTTCAAGTCATCAATCAATCCTTTCATTTATGTGATAGGCCTGCATTAAAAATAGATATTTACCACAAATTAAAGGTATCTTGTATTATTAGATATATTATTATAAAACATGTTTTGGTTAAGGAGTTATTGATACTTCAAGTGCAAAATGATGATATAAAACCATGATAAAAATGCACTTTTAAGTACTAATCATTAACAAAACAATAAAAGTTGTAGCTGAATCCCTCATGCCACGTACATAAAATAATTTATCGCATTAGTTTTTTTTTTAGTTTACTTAATATTTATTTTAGAATGTTCTGAGAAATATATTTTATAATTTTTTTTATTTTTTTATTGGATGATATATTAGTCTCCTAAGTTTAATTTTTTTAATTTTAATTTTTGATATTAGATTTGTTGGAAGTGGGTTTCATAATTTTTTTATTGACTTTTTACGAATTTATCTTAATCTCATGATGTAAGTCATGGATTTAACAGGTTAACTCGGGTAGAATTGATTTTTTTTTTGGACTATTTTTTAATTGATTTTTTATATTATCCTTTAGTATTAAGTTGGTTGGAAATTAAGTTTCATAAATATTTTTTATTTATTTTTTTATTGAGTTATCTTAATTTTATAACTTAGATTATAAGTTTGACAAGTTAACTCTATTCATTTTTTTATACTTTTTTAATTAGGCTTTGTATTTTTTTTAATTTATTTTTTATAGAATTATCCTGATTGGATTGAATTAGGTCATAGGTTTGATAAATTGACCCAAGTTTACTTAGTTTTTTTTTATCTTTTTTAATTTAAATTTTTTTCCATGTCACTTATTAATAACTCAATCTTCTTTTTTTGGTAGGTAGTCTCTTTTCAAAATTAACTTCAATATGAAGTTATTTAAAAATAGAATTTTATAATTTATTTTTATTTTTTTATCGATTGCAACTTTTAATATTGGAGTTTCATAATATTTTTTATTTGCTTTTATATAAAGTTATCTTCACTTCATAATCCAAGTGATGAATTTAAAATATTAACCCGGGTTGACTTGGATTTTTTTTATTTTTTATCAGTTTTTTTAATTTTATTATTAATATTGGGTCAATTAGAAATTGAGTTTCATAGTTTTTATATTAATTGTTTTCTATATAGTTATCATGACCATATGACCCAAGTTATAAGTTTGATGAGTTAATTTGGGTTGATTCAAATGTTTTTTTATCTTTTTATTAATTTTTTTTAATTTTATCTTTCAATATTGAATTGATTAAAAATTAATATTTATAATTTATTTTGATTTATTCTATATAAAATTATCATTGCATCATGATCTCAAATCATCAATTTAACAGATTAATATAAATTTATTTAATATATCATCATTTTACTATTTTAAAAAATTATCATTCAATACATTATCATATCAATATATTTTAAAAATATTTCTCCCAGTGTATTCTTATTTCACATGCTGCATTATATTTTTCCTGTACACTAATTTAGAACCCGAAGCCATAGTGAAATAACATATAATTTTATAATTGTCTATATCTATGACAAATTAATGATTTTATTTACCTTTTCTAAAAACAACGAACTTGGAATGTTTTAATGCAAAGAATCTATTTTTTTTTAAGGAAAATGGTAAGTAGCATCAGTATTTTTTAGTAGATGTATTCCTTTAGAACCTCTATTTTTCTTGTTTTATATTTTTTTTAGATTTAATTTTTTTTAGGATGTAAATAATTTTTTGCTTTTTGATAATGTGATGTAATTGATATTTAACTACCACAATTATATTTTTTTTCCCGTGCTGAGAATACTCTTAGTATATTTTAATAAAAAAATAATAAACTTATTGCAGCAAATTTTATATAATATAAACTATTATGTTTTTCTTTTGATTGCTTATTTGAGAATTAAGAATGTAGTTATGATTATTTTTTAAAGTGTTTGTTATACTGAAATATATCAAAATAATATTTTTTATGTTTTTAAAAATTATTTTTAAAATTAACATATTAAAATAATTAAAAACATACAAAAAAACAAATTTTAATAAAAAATTTAAAATTTTAAAAATACAATTATAATCACATTTCAAAACACTCTAACCACGCTAGATTGGTAGGGCTTCAACCTTGTACTAGTTATCTCTAGATAAAGAGATTGTTCCGCACACTTCAACTGTAGTGTACTCTATATTTTTCTCAAATCTATCAAAAAATTAATTTTTTCTATGCACTAATTTAAATACCAAAAGTACACTGAATTAACATTCATTGTATATTTGTCTATATATATATATATATATATATATATAACAAATTAATGATTTTATTTACTGATTAATGAAAAATTCATGATTAGATTGGATTTTTCACGGTTATGATCTTAAACCGGTGGAGTGATTGGGTTTTATCACTAATCCAATGAGTTCAAGGGATGACTTCCACGCTTTCCTGCGAAACAAGCTTCTTATGAAAATAGAAAGGAGAATGTCAAGTGAAAAAATAGTATATGGAGCAACATAAAATGTGTGGAGAGATGAGTAGAGCAGAGTATAGAATGTGGCTATGTGGTCGGTATGGCTTGCTTTATTGTTTTATATTATGTTATTTTTCTTGTATAAACTTAAATAAATTTATATAATAATCCAAAATATTTATAAATTTCAGTTTATCTCATAAAAATATCTCAAAATATCTGGTGAAGAGTAATATAATCATGAAAAATGCTTACAAGGGAGCTGATGGTAAGCGGAGAAAAATGAGTTATGGCTTGTAATTTGTTTCCTTTAAGGTGTCATGTGGGTGGGGGGCTGCCGTTACCGGAGAAAGGGAGACGTTCTACGATCAATGATTTGACTGTTTTTAAACTCGTTACTTTGCATTGTAAAGTGACCAGGCTATTGAAAACCAGCGCAGCCACCATGGGTTTAAAATTGCAAATTGAATTTCAAGATGGTAATAGCTAGAAAGATGGATTTAATATCACATGTAAGGTACATTGTAAATAAAAAATAAGAGGGAAGAAGCTTGGTTCAAAATTTCAGTTTCTATGCACAACTATTCTCTAATATTCTGAAACACAAGATTTTCATTACGGAAGAGAATGAAGACATGAGTATACACGAAAGACAAGCCCTTTTGATCCTTTGGCGGGTTAGGAGGTTCTGTGGCAATGCAGTTTATGGACGATGTGGTTTATGAAACCATGTACTGCCTCAACTGTTTGGTTCTGTTCTTGTTCTTTAGCTTTCGAAATGCGCTCAGCTCGATTTGCCGAACTCTTTCTCTACTGACACCCATCAACTCCCCAATCTCCTGCAACGTTTTCATCCTTCCATCCTCCATTCCAAATCTCCATCTGACGACCTGATTCTCCCTTGGACTGAGACTTCCCAGAACTTTCTCCAGGTCCTTTTTCATAAATTCCTTCATCAGCAGATCTTCTGCTGTTTCTGCTTCAGGATCTGCAGTCACTTCCTGGGGAATAAGATGCATAGAATTCTCAGCAAAACAAGTAATCTAAAAGATGCAATGACAGCTGCAAAAGTCTTGACAAAAGGTGCATGGCCAAGGCATTAGGAAACGAATGATACGGACCGAAAGTTTAAGATCCATGTTAAACCCCATCTTCTGGTCAAGAGATCTTGGGGCTTTTGGAGTTAGTAGTACAGCACTGAGCCTCTTCATCGAGAGCCCAGCTGCCTCTGCAACTTCTTTATCATCAGGATGTCTTCCATTTTCAGTATACAATTGTTTTCTAGCCTCCTTCACTCTATAAGTTGCATCCACCATGTGAAACTGTAAACTCAAAATATGGAAACCAAAATATTAGATCAAGAAATGTTTAGCACAGACAAGAGCTAGTGAGTTGTTCCCAAAAAGCATACACCTACTGCCTCACGTTTAAATCACATTTTTAAAGGCAAATTGTTTAAGCTAAGTCAGAGAAAGGACAACTGAGAGTTGAAGTAGAGCTTACTGGTAAGCGAATTGTTCTAGACCGATCTGAGAGTGACTTGCGTACTGCCTGTTTAATCCACCAGTGAGCATACGTTGAGAATTTGAAACCTTTTGATGCATCAAACTTCTCTGCACCTCGTACTAGGCCTCGGCATCCTTCCTGCAAGTAAACAAACAAGTTTTAGTCATTACTGCATAAAGCCAGGAATATCACGAGTTTCAATTTCTCTTTTCTTCTTTCTTGATTAGCTAGCTCTATTTATTGGGACCTTATGGGGTAGTTGGAGTATTACATAAGAAAATATAACAATCTGGGTATTTGGAGCTATGAAGGTGTGGCTAGGGAACATATTGTGTTTTCTTGCTTGTCCTTCTTGGCGTCTGACATTTGATGTATTGGGATACAGAAATATTTTGATGAATGTAAAGGAAACCATTGTGTTTTCTTGCTTGTGCTTCTTGGCGTCTGACATTTGGTGTATTGGGATATAGAAATATTTTGATGAATGTAAAGGAAAACCCTCAAACCCCGTTTGTTTATATACAAGGCAGTACACACCTGAACAAGATCTTGGAGATTCATCCCAGTTCCCTGATAATTTTTGGCAATTGAAATAACAAGCCGGACATTGGATTTTATCATTTTGTCTTTGCAAAGGATGCCATAGTTTATGCGCTTCCTCAAAGTTAACTGATCAACTCCAGCCGCAGCAGCCCACTGTGCAAAGCTGGGCTCACCTCCAAATCGCTCCTTCAGCTCCTCCTCAATCCTTTCAAGTTTTAGCAGGTCCTAGATGACATTAATAAAAAAAATGAAACATCAGAAATCTGACAAGATTGAATAAAAAGTATACAGATGCATAAAGAATTAAGTTGACAGACACTACCTACCCTATTTATCTCTGATTATACAATTTTCAACAAAAGGTCACATAATTCTTTTTTGGTTTTATTAGTTAAAGTTTTTCTAATTATCATTAGCATAAAAACTCATGTTGAAAGGTTCCTTAATCCCCCACATGACCTCGAATTCTCCAAAAAAAAAAAAACATTGTTCTTCAAATAACATTGTTAGTGGTTTATTCATAATCAGACCTGTATTCCTTCTGACAACTCCACTTCTTCAGTAGCGCTGAGAAGCCTGGAAGAGCTGCTGGCTCCTCTAAAAAAGCGCAATGGATCAGACTGGTCTACTTCTTGCAAGGGCACACGTTTTTTCTTGCTAGAAGAACCGGACTTCACGGATACAACATTTGCAGAAGCCTTTTCAGCTGCTCTTGCTCGTCTGGCTTTTCTTTCTGTTTGGCGCTTTGATCGCACAGCTATACCCTCCGAAAGCTGTTTTTGCAAAAGTGCAAGTTCTTCCTGTGTTGGTTCTAAACAATCATATTCTTCGGTTGGGTATTGCACGGAATAGTCTTCTCTTAATCTAGTTTCAGCTGACACGGAATCTCCTATTATATCAGCTCGTTCTTTTTCAGTAAGCAGAGACCACATTGATGAGAAGGAATCTGTTGTAGATGCTATTGGAATTTTTGTTTCTTTCTTCAGAGAAGAGTAATTCTTAGCCATTTCAGCTGCATCTTTCGCAACCTTGACAGCAGCTCTTGCAAGAGCAACTGCTTCAGCAGCAGCAGCAGCAATTACAGCCTCATCATCTGCGATAAGTGTTTCAGCGGCTAAACTAGTTTCGAAGGGTGGCTGCACACATATCAAAGTAGAAAATAGATTAAATTACCATATAACACTGGTCATCAATAGAATATATCAGAAACAAACTGACTGCAGCAACTACAGTATTGTAACTATGATAGCAAGGTCAACCAAAAGAGAAGATCATCAATAGCTTTAAAAGAAAAGAAATCAATATAATTTGAAAATCTGATTAGCAAGGCCCAAGATGAACAGTTGAAAATTTTCTGACAGTGGTTTGATTAGCAATAGAACAAAAAAAATAAGGCATGTAGGGAGCTTACTATTAACTTAGTAGACCTAAATTTGAGAAATTAAGGTCATTTATTTAATGAAATGAAAACTCTATGCAATGGCTAAAACAATGCACCACCACGTTCTGAGAAGCCTGTCTCCCAGCTTAATTACCAAATATAACAAATAACTATTATGGTTTTGTTGTGGAATAAGTAAACAAGTTTAATAAGCACAAATCGCTCCCCCCAACCCCCAATTTTAGGACTGGAAGTGCAGTAAAATCCCAGATAAAGCAAGGCTCACCTTCTTCTGTGGACCGATTCCCCCTATATAAGTCCACGGTCTGTTTGCAGAAATTGAATCTGAATGAGGTTCTAAAGAAGGCAATCTCAGCTTCTCCAGATCAAGCACCGCGGTTGATGGTGATGCAGAGGACAAAACGCATTGTGCTACGAAAAAAAAAATCAATATAGTCTTAGAAATGACTGCACTCCGTACAATAATCATGTTCCAGATAATCTCGAAGAATTTAAGCTGTTAAGTTAGGTAATTGTGTATAAAAGTATAGCAACTTAACAACAGCCCTCGAGTAAATATTCTATATGGATGCAACAACATCAAACTAAAACCAGGAACACAGATTCAAACAAATGGTAATACCGCCCACATACAAACTACAGTTGCAAAAAGTTAAGCGAGAAAATATCAAGTAGATGCTCGCTAAACTTGCAAAACAGTGCAAGGAAATTCAAAAGAAAGCACACTAAGTTTTTCTCAAACGATGAGCATAAATTATAAATATTTGGTGACTTCATGTGGCCATAGGAATACTATTAGAATGTGTCAATTTTGCATTGGATTGGATTTTCTAATCTGGAGTTCTTGAGAATAGAATCCATATCGCTATTCGTTAATGTGAATACACAATGGTGAGAGCAGCAATGGTGAAACAAAATAACTACAGATAATTCCAAAGAAAACCAGAAAACACCCATCTCAGTTCAAGCTGAAACAAAGACATGTATTGAGGATACCCATCATAACACCGAAAAACCACCACAATTCTTAAGGAAACAAAAATGTCGAACAACATAAAATTAAAACCCGCCCATTTCAGTTCTGCTATCAAACATAGCATTTGTCATAAGTTGTGAACAAAAAGGAAAAAAAAATATAATCTTCCAAAAATATTACTGAAAGCCAAGACTTTCATTACTCGGTGGCATTCAAAAAACATAAAACAAAACAAATATCCATTTCAGTTCTGATAGAAATAAGAGCATTCAGAATTGCTCCGTGGTCAAAACAAAGAAATACCCAGTCCAAGTATGGTCAAAACAAAGGCATTTGTGATAAAATATCAAGAAATGAAAATAATAAAGCAAACAAACAAAACCCATTTGAATTGTAACTGAAACAAAGGCATTGGTAAGTAAGCAATGAAGGGGAAAAAAATGCAACAAAGCAACTCACGGAGTTGGGTATGGTTGGTGCCGTGATGTTGGAGATTTCTAAAATGTATAGAGAAAGTGTCTGGCTGGCACTTGAACTGTGGCAGTAAACAAGACATTCTCTGCTGCTACTACTCTACTGCTACCAGCTATAACTACTATAACTGTCTGTTTCTTGTATCATTCAACGCAGTGTTTTTTCTAGAAAGAAATACTCCATGAAAGAGCTGTCTTCTTATCTGCTTTATTTCGAAGTTTTGGACTTTAAAAGGCAGAGAGAGTGAGAGAGAGAGAGACGAAGAGTGAGGTGTGGTGTTATTTGCTGGTAGTGTGGTGATAACATGAAAGGATAAGGGGAGAGCGGCTTCCTGCGTTTGCCTGCTGGCGAGAGATAGACAAAATGAACCAGTCCAATTTTATGTATTTATACTTGTTCTTTTTTTTTTTGTGGAAAAGAAAGTCTACGCTTAATTCCCTAATAACATATTAAACAAAAAAAAAAAGAATTGTAGATTATAATAGATCTTCACGGTGTTTTTTTATTCTTTTCAATCCTTCGAGTTTTTTCACTGTTTTTTTTTTTTTTTAATTTGACTCTTTCATATTAATAAGTTGATTTGTGTTTAAAGTTGATGATTTATTTTGATTGGTTTAATGTTAGGTTCATATTTGATTTAGTAAAAAAAAAATTATTTAATTTATTTAAAATAATTAAAGCTTTAAATATCAAATTTAAAATTGAAAAAAAAATGTTAAACTTTTTATCTCTTATAGTTTTTTTATAATGTTTTTAACTCTTCATCTTAATTAAAAAAAGTTAGTCAAAGCTCCAAAATAAATTATTGAATTGGGTTGGCTTTTCAATTTTAAAGAGATTAAAAGCTAGTTTGAGTTAATTGATGAATTTATTGACTTTTTTTAGGTTTTAGGTTTTTTTAAGTGAGATAATGATTAAAAATAAGTTTTTTTTTATTAAATGGATCAAAACTCGATTTTCCTAAAAATTATGTATTATCTTATTTGTTTTTTTTTAAATAATTAGATAACGTGTTTGCATTTTCACAGCATATCTTTTTTTTTAATGTGTGTAATCTAAGCATTTAGGCTATGTTTTGGAATAATTTTTTATTTTTTTCATTTTTAATTTAAATTTATTAAAATTAAGTGATTTAAAATATATTTATGATACTAACTTATTAGATAATGTTCACTTTTTACTTGGTTTTTTATAGGATTTTTTTTACAATGTCAAAGCACTCTTTTTGTATAGCACTTCATTCTTTTTTTTCTTATATTTAATTAGATGTCTTCCCTCCTTATGCCTTAAAAAAAATATTACAATAATTTTTACAAGACAGTGCTATAGTGATGTGTTGTTCTTATATATTTTTTCAATATGCTCACATTGGAATTAATAATACAATGTACATTGGATGATAATAGTTGATTTGGATAACACATTAAAATTAAAATTAAATAAAAAATACAAACTAAAATAATTAGAAGTTTTATTGTTTCATTTAATGTATATTATCTCACCTGAGCAGGAATGTGGAATGCTTTGAAGAATCCATAATGTTTTTTTAATTGTTCATAATGTTTGGTTTGGTTCTTGATATTGTTTTATTTTCCATTCTTGTAGTTTTTAATTTTAATATTTTAGCTTTAAAGCTTCATTTATCTGGTATTTTAATTTTAAAAAGATGAGAGATAAGAGATAGATTAATTAAAAATAAAGAGGATAGAGAAAAAAATTTATTGATCATATTTTATCCATAAAAAATTCCAATTTTAATGCTAATGAATTTGCAATGAAGTTTGATGGTGGTTTGGACCTTAATCATAAAAAAAAACAAGATTAAAACCCAGAAAATTTTATTTAGATTCGGTTTAATTTTAATTAATAAAATTAGTTAAATGGTGCTTTAAAGTTAAAAATAACCCTGATGAGATTTTTAAGATGTTTTTTAAATAAATAATGTGTCTTAGATGTTATTTATTTTTTTTAGATAAAATATTTATTTGTTTCTAAAAAACTATTTTTAAAAAAATTATTTTCCTCGTTTTTTATATGTAATAAAATTTAGAAAAATAGTTTCTCCTAAAAAAAAGTAACCTTACAAAATAAAATTATTTTTCTTTTCTTACATAAAAAAAAAAACCTCTCTCTCTCTCTCATGTTATTGGTAACCTTATCAAAACACTTCTCTCTCAAAATGAAAAATATCTAAAAAAAACTCATCAAAATATTTTTATTTTATTTACCATTAACTAATTTTGGCTTTTTCAATGTGAAAAAAATATATTTTAAGGTTTTAAAATAGAAAAATATTAATAAATTTTACTTAAAAGATATTCAACAAGACCACGTGTCTATAATGTAATATTAAAAATATTTATATAGTTACATTTTATTAAATAAATGTGATATAATATTTGTTTTTTAGCATTGCACTTTTTATATTTTATTTTTCTATTATAAGCAGTTAAATAATTATATTTAAATTTTATGCATGTTCGATAAACTTGAAAAAAAATATTAATAAGTTATTTTCTAACTTATTTTTTATAATATAATCAAATACTAAAAAAGATATATCAAAATCACACTTGTTTTTAACTTAAATACAGAATTTATCATGAAAATAATTCATGAATTTTTTTTTATATAAAAGAGAGAAATACAGCTTAGTAACTATTGAATAATTAATTTCTTAATATCTTATGTAGTAAAAAATAGCAAATGTTTTATTTTTATTTTTTACTTGTGACAAAGTTCACAATTAATTTTATAATATTTTTTTTTTTATTTTTTTCATATTAAATATAAAAAACTAATAATAGTTTCAAATTAAAGAAAACACGTAGTCTTAATAATAAATTACTTGTCAATAATAGCGAGAGTTATAAAAAGTCCATGTATTTATCTCTATGTCTCACTAGTATGGGCCTAATTGTGTTCCACCCTAGACTGGATTCAAGAGGCCCACTAAAACAAAGCAGAGTAACCCGGCCCACAATTAAGCCCAATAAATCCAAAATCAAGAGTTGATATGATGCAGCGACGTCTCGTGGACTGTGTATTTGTTAATAGAGAAAGTGAGAAACCTCAAATGTAGTCCCAAGAAAATATAATCTTTATCATTTGCATCCCTAATCTATGCGTATTATCAATTAGATCCCAAATATCTCCTTCGTTTCGCAATTGAATCTTTTTTTGACAAGTCTAATTTTGGGTAAAATATGCAGTAAGACAGCGTCGATTTAGAGAAAAATCGATGGAAAAGTTAAAGAACACGATGGTGTGCATATTTATGCACTGAAATGGCATCTATTTGCCGATGAACATTGAAAAAAGAAGAGACACTTGGGACTTAATGGATAAATTTAACAGTATAGGTACGTAAGTGTATATTGGCTTGGGACTAAATTAGGTGTCGCTGGTTAATTAATGCAAGTATACAACCACTACCGTCCTTGGAAAATCACACTCTATAGTTACTTCTCTCAAAAACAGAGCTGTAGAGAGAGAGTGAGAGAGAGAGAGAATGTCGTTTGCAGCATCTAGGGTTTTCAAGGCCTGTAGGGCACTCTCGGCTCCAGCCAAACCTGCTACGGCTTCCAAGACCACGGTAGCGAAGCCGAAGCCTAAGGCAAAGGCAAAGGCAAAGGCAACTTCTACGACGCCAGGAACACCCCGTGGAATACTCAAGCCAAAGCCTGTCTCTCCTGTTCTCGGTGACTTCTTAGGTGGGGTCCCTGAGTCTTCTCGCGCTGAGGCTGTGAAGAAGATCTGGGCCCACATCAAGCTCCACAATCTCCAGGTCTCCTTCTTGATCATTTCTTAAATCTTTGTTAAGAGCCTGGCATTGTAGTATATAAGTTTTTTTCTGGTTAGGGTTTCTCACTCATGTTCCTTTTAAATCCTTTTTCTTTGTATTTTTGTTAAACCCTGAGCTTTTGTTACTTGCTATAAAGGCCTTGCTGATTAGGTTTTTTGTCTGTTTTTTTGTGTGTTTTTTGTGTTTCTTAAACCCCAATTAGACTAGCTTTGATTTTTGTTCTTTTGTTTTTTTATGCAGTATCGTGTAAACCTATTATCACTTTTTTTTTAATCTTTAATACCCTAGTGGTACCTCGCTTCGTTTGTTTATTCTTTGTTTTAGGGTTTATAATCATCTTTTTTTTAAGGAAAACACTCATGCTTGTTACCTGCCTCTGAAATTGGTTGTGGGTGGTTTGACGGTTAAAGGAAAATTAGATTAATAATTTCTTTTGTGATGTCTAGCATGTTTTGAAAAATCAGGGGCATTTGTAGACAAGACTTTTTCACTCGTTTTTAATTGTTGGTGTTGGCTTTACAATTTGGATCTAAATTCAGTTTTTAATTGTTGGTGTTGTTGGCTTTACAATTTGGATCTAAATTCAGTTGTGGCTCTGTGAACTGGCTAGATTCTTTTGGATTCTGGCATTTGTTTGTTAAAAAGGATTATCACCATGCTTCTCCCTCCTACCGTCTCCTTTTCTCCTTGTGTTTTGTGATTGTTTATGTGTCTGTAATAGAACTCATGAATTCAACATCAGGACTTGTCCCATTGTGTGTAAATTGTTGTAAGATGTTTTTCAGGATTTGTTTTATTAACTTTTTATTCATGAGGTGTTCAAATCAAAATAGATATGACAAATGGCTTTATTTAGTACATGCATGTAATTGGATATGCTTTGATCGGTAAATATTGAAATATGTGAATGTGTTTTTTCCTGCAGAACCCCACTAACAAGAAGGAGATAATTTGTGATGCAAAGCTAAAGGTCCTATTTGATGGGAGAGACAAGGTTGGATTCTTGGATATAGGGAAGTTGCTGTCTGCTCATTTTCCGAAGGCTGATTAACTTCAGGATTTAGGGTTTAGGAGGGTGGCTTGACTCTTCATGGAGCAAGCTCTTGATGACTTTATTGTTGAATCATTTGCTTGTTTTATATTTGATATTTGCCCTTTCTGTTAAGAGCCAAAATGTTTGTTGAATTGCAACTTAACTAGTTCTTAGCTGGACATGGTGTAAAATTGGCTAGCAATCATGGTTTCATCATATCTCCTCATTTCTTGTAATATCATTTTGTTTTAATTTTAGCTTATAACTCTGATAACGAGCTCGATCTCAAACAAATACAAACAAACAATCACGCAACTCATGCTCTGGCAGTGGATAAATTTGTTCATGAAGGGAGACCATTGATGAAGCAATGACAAAGGCAAAGGTGGGGCAGAATACCACAAATCTATAAACAAGACTAGCCATGTTTATATTGCAAGTCAAATCTAGTAGACTGAAGCAGGTGTAAAAGAAGTTCGTTCCTTGTGAAACACTTCAGGTTTGTCTTGTCAGTTTGGCAATGACATCAACTTCGAGATATGTTTGTAAGAAAAATGTGAATCTGCAAATCTTCAACAAGAGCTGCAATAAGCCACCCGTTAATATGGATTGGTTGGACAGACGAGATGCAATCTCACTGGATCTGGATGTCGGGCAGTTTAGAGCATGGGCCGTAAATGCTGTTAAGTAATCAAAATAAACTAGAAGAGGACCGACACTCGCTATCACTGAGGTAAATCAATGTCCCAAGATACAGGAGCAATTGAATGCAAGTTCAACAGAGGAGACTGAGACAACAAAAAGGAGGAGAAAAGGTAGAGTTAAAACAGATTGAATGTTTTGTCGACTAACCAGACTCCGAAAGAATTTTTGTACTAGCAAGTTTGTTGATTACTTGGTATTACGCGTTCAACTGGCCATTGCCTTCCCTTTCAAGTTTAGTTGAGGAGATGATGTATCCATTGCTCCACAACAGCGGGGGAACCGTACCATGGTCTCATTTCATCATCTGAACCAACCGGTGAGTGGTAAACTCCGTCCAAGCTAATGTTGAGCGCGCCATCCAGATGGGCTGACACCTCTGGCACCACTCCATCACCCCATACATCTGCCTGCCCACATACCTGACAAAGTGCAACATGTCAATATCAGCACTTTCAAGCCAAAATTCTGGTCGTCGCTTATTACAAGATGAGAGCTAGTACGAGGAAAATGTATTTCCAGCTCAGGTTACAGAAGATATATGGTTGCAACAGAATCTCTGGTTTGCTAAATGATTTGTTGATTTGCCATACATGCAATTGAGTTTACCTGCTTATACCCTTGCCCAGCAAAACGAGCACGAAATCTGGGTGCAGTAGAAGTTGAATTGCCCATATCATTTACAAGTACAGCCTCTGCAGTTGGTTGATCGTTCTCAACAGGAATCATCGTTTTAGCTTCCACATTTGAGTCCCCCAAGAAGCGGGCCCCTTGAATATACCTGCAGTTTTATCACAGGTTCAAGGAACTTCTCACGTTTGTCTTGACTGCGTATATCGTTTGGTTGTTTCATAATTACGGAAAATTCTATAGAATGATTTCTGCCTTGTTGTTACCAACAGTCTCGTTGACAAACGCTGCCTTGAAAGCTTCTTGGTGTGTGTATTCGTAAGTGGCTATTTAAGCAGATGTTTTGGAGCTAATGCCCATCTCAAGTGCCATGGCAAGTAAGATTCACCTATAACTAGGTAAATGTGACTCCTTCAAACAAACCATAAATTTTTGCTTACCTTACTCTCTGCAGAATCACATTACACTAGCTTTGCCATGATATGAAATTAAAATCAATTAGAAAATTAGAAAGAAATACTTTTATCTTTCAAAGGAAAAGAGGGATTATCTAAGCAAAGCTTCCACTTTATTTGTTGTGATTTTTATGCTCTTAACATTTCCCTGCTCATTGGGATATCATCGATTCTTTCTGTCACAAGAAACACAAACTTTCATCTGCCCTGTAACCACTCAAAAGATTTGGTGTTTCATCTTTCATGAGTTCTATCAAATATGTACGTTATTAGATTTCACTGATTCCACAAAAACTGCTATTCAAGGCACTGAAGATATTCAAAATCATGATTCGACACTGAAATAACAAGAACTTGTTGTTTGAGTAATTGCAGAAGTGTTGGCGAACAATAAGCACTTGAAAATGAAATGACAGTGCCAAGTGCCAATTGCAAGTTGTGTGATAGAAAGGTGTTTTCTCTACATTATTTCATTATTTGAGAGTGAAATATGTTGGGAGAAAGACCTGAAAGCATAGCAGAAATGGTGGCGTGAAGAAATGTTTATTTTAAACAGGATCGAATTCATCTTCAGCTTGTACAGGCTCTTTGATCGTCATCTTAGTCCATGCACTATAAATACATGTTCCCATAATGAGGATGGAAAGGATATTATCGTGATCTTAATGAGGATGGAAAGGCTATTCTCTCTTTGGCTTCCTGGTGTTAAATTGCTTCCTAATAGACCATTTTCAACACACAATTTGAAGACTGAGTTAATGGGGATAGGTTACTTTTGACTTTTGAGAATGGGTGGAAGGACTTAGACGAGAAGTACAGATGAAGTTTTCAGATTTTGACTCACAAGATGAATTTCTTTGTATATTACTTTTGGATCGGCATTTCCTCGAGGAGGAATACAAAAGGCAGAAAGGTGGATATAGGTAACTAAGTCTCATGCCATAACAGAAATGAACCCGGCTTATGAAAGATTAATCATTTTGTCCGCATAGCAAAATGTGAAATCTCAAGGCCTGGTTCCGCAGCAGGAAAATAAATATTCATGTTACTAGGTAATAATGACATATTACAGCTTATATTCTTTAACGGAAAAAGGACACATCAAGCACTGACAGAAAGATTTCTTTCTATTGTGAACTATAAGGAAACAATTAGACTCATGATGCAGAAAAGTGATGCATGAAAATCTTGAAAAGACAAGTAATTTGGGAAAAATATAAAGAAGTTCTGGTTTGTGATTTTACCTCCCTGCGATGCATACATATCTCAATTCAGGAGTATACACAGCTTTCATGCAATGTTTTTCAACATAATCAAGGAGACCCCTTGTTTGATCAATGACCCCTGGCACGCCTTTTGGAGGTGGCCTGAAATGAAAGATAAATAAAACACGAACCAAGAGCACACTCAAGTGAAGTTAAGCTCTTGCGAAGAGAATGAATTGAGTTATTCATCAACAATGTAGCTCTCAACTAAGCACAGAAAACATTAACAAGATATTGAACTGAGCACATCCAAGAGCCATTAGGAGGAACATAAAAATATGAAACTGATAACCTACAAGTGGGGAGTACCAAGAGTCAATAACAAGGAGACATCTAACTGCCCAAATTCTTCCATGTAGACACGTGCAAGCCATCCTCCTGCTGAGTGACCAATCAAGGACAAAGTCTGACCTGAAATAAGATGTTTTAATGTGTTTTACATGAAGTTACCCTTGAGGCATCGGCAGCTAATGGCAACTCCGATGGAGAATTATAGCCGAAAATGACATGGGAAAGGGATTGGAGACACAAAATGTAAGGGAATACCCAATGAAATTCTCCATTTCTAGAAACCTTCAATGGTTTAACAGCGGGTAGGTTGCGTGATAATTCTAATTGTTTATCCGGGCAAGATTCTCTGAAAACTCTTCTAAATACTAACAGTTTTGTAAAATGTTTCTGATATAAGCATGGATGATTACAATCAGATGCTGCGTTGAAGTTGAACTTTCACTCTGTAACTACGTCCAAGACAACATATTCAAGAAGTTTTTCTAGTGGACATTGATCTTAATTTTCCTTTCAGATAGCAGGTTTATCAACTGTTCTAGAGAAACCTTTCAACCTGGACTGCCCAGGACATTATTTATAAAAATGGTTGAAGTCGACCAGCAAGTTAATTAGTGCATGCATGTTTAGGGGCTCAAGATTTCACTGCTTAATTAGTCAAAGCAATATGTTCAACCATGATTGCTGAAGATCATAATTAGAAGAGCGCTTATTATCTAAAACAGAAGAAGAAATAGTCAATTAGAAGAAAGCTTATTAACTAAAACATAATCAATTAAGTCATCTATAGCACAACATAAACACCAAATATCGCAATATTGCAAGCAGTAGCCAATTAGAGCTAGGCAAAGACAATACCTTGTGCCAGCTCCTTTGCCTCTTGGACAGCCTCATCAATCCTCTTCAGATACCTAGACGCATCATATGAAAGAAACAATTAACGGGCACTTCTAAAATCCAATCTGGATTGCATTGCATCAGTTCAAAACCCCAAAAGTCCAGTAATTCAATTCACTTCACTTACCAATCAAGAACAGGCCGAGGCCTAAGAGTGCCACTCCAGTAGTTTGGATCCACCAAACCTGCAGCATTCCTCAGCCAATCAAACCTTGATACATTAGCTACAACTGTGGGTACCCCATACTCTCGCAATGTCACCTCCAACTTCTGATAGTCCCCTGTATTGTTCCCTAAGCCCTGAAACAATCGAATACTACTTAGTGCACTCTATATTCCAAGCACGTGCGTGCATACATATACATACATAGAGACAGAAAGAGAGAGAAGGAGAGAGTAACCGGAAGAATGACAGCAGGCCGGATGGTGGTAATGGTAGAAATGGGGTTGGTAGGAGAAGGGGAGCAACGGGGTTTGAAAAAGGATGGTGACAAAGCCATAGCCATACCCATATCCTCTTACAGTTTATTATGGTCACTACTTAACTGCTGCTTTTTTTGACTGTTGAATGGTGATGCCTAAGCATGATTATGGGCCGCACTCTCAACACCAGCAATCCTCTACCATTTATAACCAATGGGATCCTGTCTTTTTTTTTTTTTTTTCTTTTTTTTTTTTTTGTGTGGCTTTTGTCTCCAAAAACTAACCAATGGCGCTTTGTTTGGCTGGTTGGACCTCTTGTTTTCTACTTGTGGGCTGGGACATCTTTGCACTGGCTAGGGATGTCCTTCTTCCTAATGAAGACTGAAGAGGATAATTGGGCATCAACATCTATTTATCAACAAATCACTTTAAGATTTCTTGATATGAAAGTGGTCATGCCATTTCATATAGTTTGGAATTTTAGTTTAATCAAGAATATAAAATGTAATATTTCAAATCATGGAGACAAAAAAAAACAAGAAGAACTAGAGTAATTTTTCTAAAATAATAATATAAAAAAGGCGAAGAGAAATTAAAATTCACAGGGGCTGAGTTGATCCGGATCTTAAAATACAGGCCCGAGTCCGGCCATATAAAAGATAGTGAGTGTTGTAACTAAAGCAGGCAAGATGGCGGCTTCACTTGGTTTGCACTGCCACCACTACCATGTTGCAGCAGCAGCTAATCCACTACGCAAAGCCGCAAAGCAAGCTCTATCTTCTCTAATACTGAAACCTTCAAAGCCTCATCATCACCATAGTTGTTGCTATAATAGTGATAGTGTTGGTGCCAAAGAAATTAGAAGCCCAGACTTGGTTGCTTTGGAGTATGCTGACCTTAATCTTTCTGATAAAATTTCCGGGGTAAGAAAAACATTCTTCTTTCACCCTTTAACGCTCATACACTAGAATATGCTGTTTAAGGAATTGTTATGGCAGGAATTGGGTCATGTAAGAATCAGGCAACATGTAAATCCTTTGAGTTCCTCTTTCTCTGTGAGTAATTAGAGCTTGTTCATTTTTATGTTGTGGCTTTAATTCTTGTAAAATCACCCTTTGGGTATTCTCTCTTTATAATTACTATTGCTGGATATATGATTTTGGTAGGTGCCTGCACAAGTGCCTGATTGGAAGGAAGTTTTCAGGGACCCAACATTGCCACTCATGGTTGATATTGGAAGTGGTATGTCCCCCTTTATCTTGTAATGTGCTGGTAATTATTGCTAATTAGCATTGGCTTTGTAACTTAATTTTTCTTTGGCTAATCTAAGCAATGACAATTTTTGGAAATGGATATTTTCTTGGTCGTAAGAGAAGGAACAAGAGTTATCATTTAGTGATCCTTATCTTCAGTTGCAGAACATTAGTGTATGAAGTATTAAACCATATGAATAGTAATTGGTGTGAAAAAGTCAATGGGATATTTGGTGTGGGTGGAACACTGGGGTATTCATGGAAGAGAATATATGTTCATTTTGCTGTTATGAAATGGTGAAAAATGCAATTTGTCTCATACTTCCGTGAATTCTATTTTTGAAATGATAAAAATTCAATTTGGATGCAAGAACACTAGACAGGCATGGAAATAATTTGGAAAATAAGGCCTTTGGTAGGCTACAATGGTTACATATATTATGAAGGCTCGTGCAAGTACATTTACCATTCATATTGTTGATTCTCTGCTATTCTAATCTTGATTTACCAATTTTATCTGACTTGTAGCGGAAATGAGTCTTAAAGCCTTTTGGAGATAAAACTGAGTAATTTCACAAGAGTTCAAAACTGTGGAGGAAGACAATCTGATGGTGGAGAATGTCTGGGTGTAAGAGTAGACTTTGGTAGTTGGGGTTTTCTTTCTGCTCCTTTTCCCCCCCTATGTTGTGAGTCAATAAAAAGGTCAAATTTTCAGTCGATTGATGAAAGTGTGAGGCTCTAGGGAAGCATGCGGAAGAACTCTTAAATAAATAACTTTAGGTGAAACCATGCACCTTTCCCTTTTTTAATCTTCTTACCTGGCTCAGACTTAGATAGCATAAAAACTTTGAAAGGTAGTGTCCTAGTTTGTGAAACTATTTAGAACTTTTTAGGAACATCAAATCTAAGTTAATCTTGATGATATTTTAAATGCTTCATTGTGGACATATGGGTGGTCCTGTACTTGTGTTGTTAGGTCCAGTTGAAGCTGGCTGTATACTTTTATCTTGGTTCCTTCCTTCCTTTCTCTCTATTCAACATCAGGTTGGGTATATGTGACCCTTATAATCATATTTTAACACCCTGGTGTCTTCAGTGCCTTAATAAGAAAAGAACCACCCAATAGTTCTCTCTAAGATGGCATCCCACAGTAGTTAGTTGATACCATGTCTTTTCAAAGATTGACTTAGACTGCAGAGTTAAGCTGATACCATGTCTTTTCAAAGATTGACTTAGACTGCAGGTTACACTATGCATATATCTAGATTGTTTCAATTGGGAAACAACTTTATCAGAATTGTATGAAATCTAATCAAGGTAATGCTTTTTTAGGTTTTAGGTCACTCTGGACCAGGTGAAAACTTGTTCTACCTTTATAACACAGCCTTCTTGCTTCTGAAAAGCAATCACATTTTTCCTAGATTTTTTAACCCCATTGAAACTTTTATTTCTGAATGTTCATCCTTCAATTCAGCCTTTTGTCAGTCATTTAGTAATAAGAATTGGTTTGATGGAGGTAGATTAGATGCTTCTGAGTTTACAGATAAGAATAAGAACAAAAAGATTGTAATCAAGAAAAAGAAATTCTGATAGGATTAGTAGGGCCATGTGTTCCCCTTCCTATACAGTATAAATATAAAGGAATGTGGTCAGGATATACCTGCAACAATAGAATAATCATCCTAGGAGTTTATGGACATGATTGACAAGGCCAAGCTTGAAAAGAAATTTGCAGAGAAACCTGAAAGCATCTCATATGAAGCCTGAAGTTACTGTTTTCTTATTTAAATTATTTTCCTAGTTAATTTTGAATTTTAATTATTTGTTTCCAACTCAATATAGAACTTTTAATTTAATTTATATTTTATTATTTATGAATCCTAATGTTAGATGAATTCTATTAATTAGAAATCATTTTCTATAAAAGGTTTTAGTTTTAATTAGAAATTCTTTCCTATAAAGGATTTTAAGACTAATATAAATAAGAATGTCTAATTTATTTTATGGAGATGAAAGACTATCATTCAGATTTAATAAAATATCATAGAATTTTCTCTAGATTTCTCTATAGTTAGGTTTGTAACCTTAGAGCTTGAGAATTCTACTTTTATCTTTGCTATACACGATGTCAGGTGGTATCAGAACAAGATAACATCCAAATTGATGGCGAACTAGTGGAGGAGTAGATGAAAACCATCTTCATGACGGTGATCAGGGGATGTAGGTTGCTTGTGATTAGCTAGATTGTCATTTAGTAGTGATAGCAACTTTAAAGGGTTGCAAATTGAGTTTGGCGACATCAATGCCAAATTTGATGAGTTTACAACTAGGTTTAAGGCACTAAGATTACTCGCAAACAAGAACTGAGTAAGATGAGAGGCATGCGTTGGGGATGATGTCCGCCCTGTCTTTAAACAAGTTTATGCAAATCCTCGTGGTCAGTATCACCACGAGTATTCATCTAATGAAGAAGATTTATTTTCACTGATATGAGGCACAAACATGAATTGTAAAGAAAAGAAAAACGTGTTTGGAGACATACCTTGGGGTCAACCTGATCTTTGATCTATACATGTACCATAAATTAAATTTTAAAGTTCATAGTCAAAGAGATGCTACTTCATGAATAAGTTAGCTATAATATTATATTTGAAGTATTTGTTCATTTGAGGTGAAAGAGTTCACTTTTTTATAGATAATCCGAGGATGAGTTTCCTAAAGTGGGGGAAATTGACACAAAACAATTATCCCTAAAGTTTATGAACTAGATTGACAAGGCCAAGCTTGAAAAGAAGGTCGCAAAGAAACTCGAAAGCATCCCATACTCGTAAGCATCTCATATGAAGCCTAAAGTTATTGTTTTCCTGTTTTAATTATTTTTCTAATTAATATGGATTTTAATTGTTTGTTTCCTACTCAGTTTAGAACTTTTAATTTAATTAGTATTTTACTATTTAGGAATTTTAATACTAAATAGATTCTATCAATTAGGTAAGTTTTAATTAAGAATTCTTTCTTGTAAAGGATTTTAGTTTTAATTATGGATGTCTAGATTATTTTATGGAGATGAAAGAATATTATTAAAATTTAATAAAATACTAGAGAATTTTCTCTAGATTTCTCTACAGTTAAATCTATAACTTTAGGACTTAAGAATCCTAGTTTTATCTTTGCTATATACTGTGTCAAATTTTGCATGAATTGGTTGCTTCCAAGTCCATTCCAGGCATTTGTACTTGGCAATCTCTTAACGTATAGTGGACACTGGAAAGTTTTCCTGCACTCCATGCTGAAGCGGAAGGAAAATTATGTGGTCTACTCATAACATTAGTGGCTATTTTCTAGTACTTGCTCCTCTTTTTAAATGATAGTCTTGGCCTTCAGAATATGGTGGATGTATTATCATTAATATTCTTATTTGTTATCACTGTTAGTCAAAATACTGGTAGTCATAATACAAAAGACAAGTAGAATACATCTGTTTCAATATGTACATACCTAACAGCTAAGTAAAATTCCCAGGGAGTGGCAGATTTCTCATTTGGCTTGCGAAAAGAAATCCTGATTCAGGAAACTATTTGGGACTTGAAATAAGGCAGAAAGTATGTGAATGAACTCCTTGATGACTTGTAATTCACTTCAGAATTCTTCTGATTATTTGATGTATATTTACTTGATCTATTTTCTTTTTTTCTCCAAGTATGGCTGCTTGTTCTTATCTGGTAATGCTTTTATCCCTTTTCAGCTGGTCAAGCGTGCGGAATTTTGGGTAAAAGAGCTGGCTCTTACTAACATGTAAGTCTTTTGTAGTCGAAACGGATTTCATGCTTGATGGAGAAGAAAAATTGCAATGATATTTTGTTGGCCATTGATGATGGATAATTTGAACTTACTGCAGACATTTCCTATTTGCAAATGCTACAATATCTTTCAGACAACTGGTTCTCTCATATCCTGGACCCTTGATGCTAGTCTCAATTTTGGTGAGTGAAATCTTGGCACCGGACCATTCAATACCATGCTAGATGACTTAGTTCAGAGTTACGCCAGAACAGTAATTGACCAATAATTTTATACAGTGTCCAGACCCTCATTTCAAGAAAAGGCACCATAAAAGAAGGGTTGTGCAGAAAACATTAGTAGATAACATCATCAGTCATTTAGTTCCTGGAGGGAAGGTATTTGTTCTAAATATTCACTCATTTACATGAAAGGTTAACATCTTAATTGCTTGACATATAGTTTTCAACGTCAATGGTTTTTCCTTTAAAAGGGAAACTGTTTCTTTGTTTCCTTTGAGGAGAACTTGACAATATGTCTTTCCCCTCAATAATGTATAAAATTAGAATATTATTTATCTACTACACTCACAACAGTAGAACACCCTGATCTCTGAAAACAAATCAAATACTGTACTGCTATTCTCTTGGGTGACATGGAAGCCGAAATTGCTCAGAGAAAGTATTGATTTGAATTTATAAGCCATTTATGAGGACATTTTTTGATCATTTTTGCTGATGTGAAATGATATCCTTGAAATTGGATAGGACTTGGTCGTGATGATTCTGACTTGATTTTTTAAGTGGTAGATAAAACAGTTAAGGCAGTACTACGTATTAGTAATGAAAATGAATTATGCGATCACAAGATTAAAATGTCAACAAATATTGTTTGTTTGTATGTGTGTGTGTGTCCATTCTTGTCTTGTGATCTTGAAGAAAGTTGTTTGTTTGTTTGGGGAGCAAGTGTTTTCATAAGGGAAAGTGAAGGAAAACAAGATTAAAATGTCAACAACTACTGTTTGTTTGTTAATGGGTTTTATTCGATGATATGAGTTTTATTCAGGTGATTTGAGTATTTATATTGCCAGAAAATGTAGATTGTGGTTGAATTGTTTTTTTCTATTTAATTTTATGTTTTTGAATTAATTTAGAGGTATTTTGAGTTGATAAATGAGTTTATTATGGTACTCAAAATGTTTATTAGGTGTTTTTAAATTAAATAAATTAAAAACATAATTTTAAAGTCTGAAATACTCTAACTTGATTTTTCAATCATCTCACTTGGCTGGAATTAGGCAAGTATATGATATGTTGTCTATTATTATTATTAAAAAAAAGAAAAGAAATGGATGTCATTTTTTAAAATAAGAGAAGACAAGCCCACCCATATCTAGTCTTCTTTCTATTAGGGAAGGCTCTTATGCCAGGCTCCTTTCTTTCTTTCTTTTTTTTCAGATTTAAATACACAATAAAAAAATTTAAAATGTATTTTAATTATTATTCAATTTTTTTATGGTTCTCAAATATTATTATAGAGTTTTATGGAAATGTTAACAATTTTTCTAAATTATTATGTAGCTAATATAAAAAAAGCTCATGAATATTCAATTAAAATAAAATTTATCTTTAAAAAAATTAATAGATTTTTAACATAATTTTATCATATTTTATTAATTTTCATTTTGTCTTTAATCACATACAAAATACTTAGACAATATTTTAATATTTTTTAAAATTCACTTTTAATATTATGATAGATTTTTGTTTAGAAAATCATGTTTGCAATTCAAAAAACATTTTCATTGAAACAACTGAGAGATGCATTAATAAAAAAATAAAGTTTAGATTAAAGTAATACATTTTGTCTACATATTTCAAATGCCTAGAATTAAAAAAAAAAATATTTATTTTTATTGTTGCTGTATTTTATGAAAAAAAAAAAGTACTCCTAATAGAAAAATTATGACATTGTTCTTAAAAAAATTATGATTTTTTTATGATGGTATTATCAATTATTTGATGGATAATTATATATCAATCTGATATATAAAAACTTATGATAATTTCTCATTAATATTGAATGTAAATAAAATATTTTTTTTCTTTATTTTTTCATTATAAAAATTTTATATAGTTTTTTCAAATTTATTTTTCATATATTTTTTTTTGTAGTTGCAGAAAAATAATTGATTTATAATTTTTACATGTTAAAGCTTGTTTTCACTATCATAATGAGTTTTTGCTTAAAAAACAATATTACTCATAAAAAGAGATGTTTTCATCAAAATTAAAAAAAATGAATGAATTGAAAATTTTAGTTTATTTTATTAAAAATACATGCCTTTTCCTTTTTATTTTAAATCTATATAGTTTTTCCCAACTTTTTTTATTGTTGTTTTTATTAAATGAACTATATTGCTATTAAAAAAAAAAATTTTGTTATATGAAAAAACAATTGAAAAATACATTTCTTCTATCTGTTGTTTTTCTTGCAAATATATATTTTATAATCATTTAATTAATTCAAAAATATATTCTCAAAAATAAGGTTATTAAACCCAATTATAATGGGTTGGTTTACCCAGTTAGGTAAATTAAAATATTTTTATTTCAGTATTTTTATAAAAAAATATTAAATTATATTGTTTTTAAAATATTTTTTTTTCTCAAAAACAAGTTAAGCTGCGTCATCTGCGCTAGCTCCCATAAGATTTGCTCTAAGATTTGACAAGGCCTGGTGAGCGGGTGAATGGGTCACCAAGATATATCACTAGACTTGCCCAGTTTAATAGCATTAATAAAAAAAAATTCTGTTGTAGCGTGCGAGCAATTGACTTGTAGTTTCCTACATTGGAAGGCATCTTTGTGTTTTTGTACACTGTATAGGGACATGGAGAGATGCTAATTCTTTTTTAAAGAAAAATATTAGCAAATGATCATTAACAAAAACTAAAAACGGTAAATTCATTTTTCATCTCTTCAAATGGCATGGCTTACCGAAACAGTGATTTGTTTATATATATTTTTTAATTTTATTATTTAATATTTGAGTTTAATTTGAGCTTTGTATTTTTTTTATTTATTTTTTATAAAATTATTTTAATTTCATAACGCAAGTAGCGAGTATGATAGGTTAACTTTGGTCAATAACAATATTTTTTTAATCATTTATCAATTTTGTTTTCAATTTTATTTTTCAACATTGTGTTGGTTGGAAATTAGATTTTATAATTTATTTTTATTTATTTTTTATAAAATTATCACGGTCTCATGATTTAAATCTTAGGTTTATGAGGTTATCCTGATTGACTTAAGTTATTTTTTTTCTTTTTTAATTGATTGTTTGTTCAATTTAATCCTTAAACATTAAGTTGATTAAGAATTGAACTTCATAATTTGCTTCGATTTATTTTCTACAAGGTTTTTCTGTTTTCATAACTCGAGTAGCAAGTTTAGTGGGATAACCTGAGTTGATTCTGGTTGTTTTTTTGTTATTTTATAATTGATTTTTTTTTTCAATTTCATTGTTGAATATGGGTTGATTGAGAATTATGATTCATAATTTATTTTAATTTTTTTTATATAAGATTATTATAATTTCATGATCTGGATAATGAGTATAATAGGTTAACCTGATTTGACCTGGCTCTATCTAATATTTTGTTGTCTTACTATTTTTTAAAATTATATGTTTTAAATTTTTTCAAGTCAAATTATATTTCTACTAGTTTAGTTTGTTTTGGACCCTTGTCACCAATTGACATTAATCAACCCCACACTGATTTTTTTGTTTTAAATTCTACTAACACCTGAATATATATATATTATGTGCATAGAAATTTAATCCGACCATTAGTATAGCTCAGGTGAATAACCTAGCAGCTACTGATCATCATTTGTCCGACAAGTTCTACTCATCATTGATTCCAGATTTGGAAGTTATATGCTCCGGTGGCCTACTCTGTTATGCGTTTCAGTCTATCTACATAGCAATACATCATTTGAAATGGTATTTCTAAGCAATGACAATTACATATGGAAAATATAGGATCCATTTTGTGGGAAAAGATGACTCCTTGGACATAATTAATGGTGCTTAAATAAACTATAAACTAAATCAGAAAGGCTTGTACTCATAATTGCTTCCAGTGTTAAACCAGTTCATTTATCATATGAGAAAGTGGATCATTTTTTGTTTATTCTTCTTTTTGAAAGAAAGACATCAGTGGGATAAGTATATTTCACATGAACCATCTTGCATCTATCCTGTATCAGAACACTGGTTAGTCACTTATCGAGAAGAGTAATGCTACGAATACTTTCTTGTTCTTACACTTGAGCTTTCCTTTTCTCTCACTCCTTTTCTTAGTTATTGAAAGTTGAGCTTCCTGAGCATGTAAGATTGGGAAGTAAGTGGAGATGCATTTAAGGCTTTATTCTTATAAAAACTCCACAAATTTCCAAGTTTTAGTCATGTTGATGGGGTTGCATTTGCTTTTATGATTGAACAGGTTTTTTTGCAGTCTGATGTGCTTGATGTGGCTCTGCACATGAGAAGCCAATTTGATGCGGAGTCGGACGCGCTTCAGCACCTCGATGAACTTGACCCGAGTGTACCCTGTGACAGTGATGGATGGCTACTGGATAATCCATTGGGAATCAGGAGCGAAAGAGAAATCCATGCTGAATTTGAAGGAGCGAAAATTTACAGAAGGTTGTACCAGAAGAGGAAATAATTAAGTAAGCTGTATTGACGAACTAGTTAATGTTGGAACCATAAAAGTAAGCTGTTTTGACGAACTAGTTAATGTTGGAACCATAAACACAGCCGAAACGATAAATTTAAAATTTTTATTTGAAAATTTTAATATCTTGTTAAATAATTTAGAGTTATTTAAAATGTAAGTAAAATTATATAAAAGCTAAATTTTTTTAACATTAAATAATTATTTCAAAGCTAAGTTGTCATAAACTATAAATTAAAATGTTATGTCGTTTTTGTTTGTGCGTAGTACATAAAATAAGAGACATAATATTTTATTTCTTGAAAAATCCTATAAATAACAAAGTATTAATTTGCCTGGTGAATAATAGCATATGTATTATTTAGGATAAGTTTTAAAATTTATTTAATCAAGTTTCTATTTGATTATTTTTTATGTTTAAAATTATAATTTCTTGTATTAATTACATTATAATCTTTGATTTTTAAAAATATTTTACAAACAAGTCACACTTGATTAATAATTGTAGTTTGATTTCATAATCTTTGATTTTTAAAAATATTTTACAAACAAGTCACACTTGATTAATAATTGTAGTTTGATTTCTAATTAATTATTTTTATATATATTACTATTAAGTTTCTTGATAAGTTGAATCAAATATAAATCATAGTTTTAAATAAAATAATAATTAATTATTTTTATATATATTATTATTAAGTTTCTTGATAAGTTGAATTAAATATAAATCATAGTTTTAAATAAAATAGGATTAGATAAATTAATTTATTATCAATTATTGATTTATAGTAAAAGATCAAGTAATGTCTAGCAACGTGTCATGATCCCTTAAATTTTAAAAAAATTATAAGTAATTTAATTTAATTTTTCAATAACTAGTTTCTTAATATAATTTTTACCTCTTTATCAACAATGTCCTGATTGAGACATTACATCAAAGGATAGAGTACATCTACTTTGTCAAATCATATTTATTCCCAACACCATAATCATTAATTATTTGAATAAGATTTGAAATTATTTTCAAATCTCATTTCAACTTACACAATACAATCAATATTATTTAAGAGCACATGAAATATATTTTTTTTCTAATTTATATAGGGTAATGAATCCTTTCTTAATTGCTTAAATATTTTTATATAGTTCATGGTATACTTGGTATATGCTTGTTTGTTACCTTTGATCATGATAAAGTGTAATGGGATCAAATCATAACATTATCTATATAAGATAATTTAGTGATATTAAGTTTAAGGATCATTTACACAATTATCACGTGAGCCTTTCCATATATACACTAGATTTCTCCCTATGAAACTCTTATAACAGTCAGTTTAATGTATTTGTTATCTGACAGATACTTACATATTAATTCTAGATATTTCTCGTACCTTAACTTATGAAAGAGCATGAACTAAGAACATTTAAAAACAATACTTTAATGCAATGTGAATCTCATAATTATAACAACCTTGTAATTTTATGAAAATATTATTGTCTCATTAATTTTATCTTTATTTTATATTCATTAATCAAATATTAGATGAATAGTAAAGATAAATAAATTTTTTATTAAAAATTAAATATGTTTATATGAACAAAGTCAATGTTATAAGATATATACACTAACAATTAACAAGGCTTTTCTTAGTTTGGTGGGATTATTTAAAGCTAGCTTGGCATCAATTATGTGGTATGGTATCATACCGTGAGAATAAATTTGCTAGACTAATGCCTTTTCCAAATGACCTTGGAAGAAAAAGGGAAAAAAATTTATCCATAAAAGAAGATCATCTGGTATGGTATCATACCGTGAGAACAAATTTGCTAGACTAATGCCTTTTCTAATGAACTTGGAAGAAAAAGGAAAAAAAATTTATCCATAAAAGAAGATCATCCAAGCAAATCTGTTCCATACCGAACAAGATATTTCATAGTAAAAACCAATTAAACTCCATATAATTATTTTCCCTTTTTGTTCATATACATAGGAAAAAGGGAACTGGTTTGGATTATATAGTTTAGTATCTTAAAACAAAGAGAAATTAGGTTTTTGTTGTCAAAATATATTATATTATATTAGACTCGTGAACAAGGATGATTAGTTTGTTATGAAAAAAGCATACAAAACATAAAAGATTATTCGAGCTAATCTTAAAGTGCATATAATTTTAAATATATGAACATGCAAAATAAAACTCAAAACAAACATGCATATAATAAAAAGAATATTAGCATGCATACTAAGAATATATCCAAACTTACAATATATATAAGATCAAAGTTCTAACATGCATATTGATAATAAAAATAATAATACTTAAATTGAAACAAAAAATGATACTTGTTAAAGTATTTTAAAGGAATGAGATTTTTTTGTCAATAATAAATCGTTTGTCCTTAAAACTTTATTATTCCTCACTTATGTAATTATGATATTTGCAATATGTCTCTCAAGATTCTAATAATACCAATTTAATTTAGATGCACTTCTAAACAAAGTTTTTAAACCAAATAAGAAAAAACTTAAATATCTCTCAATAAAGTATCAACCTAAGCTCTAGATTTGAGAGGGAAAAAAACATAAAAAAATAAAAACACTAAAAATAAAGTGAGAAAAGGTGTGAAAAAAAATCTAAAATCCTTAAGTTAAAAACTCTTCATTCACCCATTTTCTTAAAGTGATTCCAAAAGGTTGAATAATTAATAAGAATTAATTTCTATAATTATTAATATTTGATTAGCCAATATAAATCAAGAATTAAATCTATAAAACCAAGGGTTTGGTGAGATTAATTTTTCATTCACCTATAATCTGTTTAAATCATGTTAGCTAAATAAATTTTCAACAATCCCTCATATTAATGAAAATTATCTCAACAATTTAAAAATAACTTGTAAACTTGTCAAAAGATATTGATTCGGTAGATTACTATATTAGAATAAGTAATTTTTAATTTTGAATTGTACTTAGTGAAATATTATCAAATTTTCTAGGCTAAATAGTGAATGCAATGTCTTGAACTATTTAATTTTTTATGTAAATCAAAACAACAGTACTCATATAGTTCTCTACTAGGAGGTTTCTTTAGTTCTCATTGTTGTGTTTATTTTGGCTCTGAATAATTTTTGGATATATAAGTGCTTTAAAGAATTTAATCTTTATCAAAATTCTAAAAGAAATTGTCACATTTTTCACTTATATATGTAATTTTCATTAAAAGTATTTTATTATATTCCACTTAGTGCACCAAAATATAAAAATCATAAAAAGCTAAAATATTTTTTTATTGCACTGTAGTTAACAATTATTTCATCGTATAAATAATAATTTTTTAATGCTACCAAGAATACTATATGACTTACTCTTCTATTTAAATCTAAATTTTGAGATTTTCAATCAATTGAGTATGGTTACCATCATTATACTCATTCATATTTTAAAGGCTTAAACCTAATTTTTTTTTATGAATTATACACAATCTCTCTCAAGAAACCTTTGAGTGGTGGATCTGCGATATTTTTCTTTAACTTTACATCGTCAATAAAAATAAGTTCATTCGAGAGTAAGTGTTTAACAATATTATACCTATAACATATATATTTAGACTTCTCATTATATATACTACTTTATATTTTCTAATTGTTGATTGACTATCGTTATAGACATAAATAGTTGACACTCATTATGGCTAATATAGAATATTCTCTAAAAAATTCTAAATTCTTTCGATTTTCTTTTTAGCTTTATCAAGAGTAATAAACTCTTATTTCATAGTAGATTTAGTGACATAAATTTATTTGCAGGATTTCCAAGACATAACTTATCCACCAATTATAAAGATATATCCATTTATAAATTTTGAATTCTTAGCATTGGATATTCAATTAATATTATTATATCCTTATAGTATTAGTGGGACAATATAATCCATCAAATGTTATTGAAATTTATTTTCTTAGTATGAGATGTGTAACACTCAAGTTTTTCACATCAAACTTAATAGTTAATATTTTTTTTAGTATACTTGATCATGTGATTATTGATACTTAAAATTAGTGTATCATTCATATAGAGATATACAATGATATAACATTTATCTATATTTTTCACCTAAACATATTTATCAACTTCATTGATTTTAAACTCATTTGATAACATAACCTTGTTAATTTTTTTACGTTATTGTTTTTATACTTGTTTCAAACTATATAATGATTTAACAAGCTTACAAACTTTTCTCGTCCATTAATAACAAATCTATTTGATTGTTTCATATAAACCTCTTTATCAAGGCAAACATTTAATTAAGTTATTTTTATATTCATTTGATGTATAATAATAGTTGTAATGACTATTAATATTAATATGAAAGTTATTCTTGACATAAATAAATATGTGTCAAAATGATTCACACCTTCTTGTTGTCTAAAACCTGTAAGTCTAACTTTATATTTATCAATAGTTCTATAAACCTTCATTTTTCTTTTAAAAATCAACTTATTGTCTAATGATTTATTTTTGGGAGGAAGATCTATTTGTTTCAATTATTCATAATAGATTCAACTTTACCATTAACTACTTCTTTCTAATAAAAAATTTCAGACAAGAAATTTTTTTGGAGTAGGTTCAAGGTTTATTTTCTAACAAGTATGTTAAAAAGTCATGACCAAGTATTTTGGTTGTTTTTTCTCTTTTACTCATTCAAAACTCAACTTCATCATCTAATTGATGACGATCACTTGAGTTAACCTCAATTACAAATGAACAATTTTCTCATACTTCCTTCTATAAAAACACATCTTTAAAGAATATAGCATTTCTTGATTCCATAATAGTATTAAAATGAGTATCTTCAATACTTGATTTGTATACAAGAAATCAACATACACTATTATTGTATGTATATTTGATAACACATAATCCATATTTAAGGTTTTATCTTGACATTTTTATGATTAAGTATTGCTATATTTGTAAAACACTCCTACACTTTGAGGTATTTGTATAAAGCTTTTCTATCTTTTTTTATAATTCATATGATGTCTTTTTTTTTATAGGGTATTTTATTAAATATATAATTGGCAGTTAAAATTCACTTCCTCATAAGTTCTGAG